CAGATTTGAAGTATTCTAAAATCATTTTATGTCTCCAGATAAGCTTTTCTGAATATTCTGATCAAATACACGTTTATATATATATATATATATATATATATTTCATAGCTGATTGGAGGCTTTTCTTTTGAAGAGAGAGTACCTCGAGCAAACTGAGAGGTTTTTTCTTCGCAGTGACTGAAAAGTTAATTTGAAATTTTGAAATTTAAGTGGAAATTCCTTTCTCTTTTCGTAGCAGACGATTTGTTTTGAAGTGAAAAAGGAACATCCCAGATGGGAATTCGGCCCTGCTGATTATGCCTTATCCTGCCCCGTTTCCCAGGCCAAGGTAACAGGAAATCTTTGGATGATTTAGGAACTTGGTCCCTCCTGCAAGTCCCTCCATATGTAGATTTTCCCTTGGCTAATCCGTTTGCTGGGGGGAGGCAATATTTAAACGAGCAGAAAATCATTAGATGATTTACAGGACGGTGAAACCCCACGATGAGGCTCCTTTTTGGAGTAGAAAATGATTTAATTATTCTCTGCTGTTCGAAACATTCGTCTTGGTAAAAATTAAAGTGATTGTGTCAGGCAGAAAATTGGGCTCCATGTTAATATTTGCTGTAAATGAACAAATGGCAGAGCCTTGGTTGGGTTCTTTGCTGGGCTGAAGAAGTGAAATACATTCCGAGGGGTTTTTAATGCACAGTAGTTTTTCAAAGCTAATAAGGGAATTCTCCAAGCCTGCTTGTGCTTTAGGTTTTAATTTAAGGAAAGCTGGATCTTCGTCTAGTGGAATTATTCTCTCTCTCCTCCCCCAGAGCTGGAATTCTTGTTGTCAGGGTTTGCATCTGGGTCAGGGAAGTGTTGCCAAGGTGTTTTATCCCACTGGGCGGGTGCCTCTGTGTCCTGTCATCTCTTTTCTGTGGGACCTGGGCACTGCAGTGGATTTTTCCTGCGTGTTTTCCTGGGATTTTGTGGTACTTGGTACCACCAGTGGATGGAAGCGGGGTGGGGGGGATGAGCTTCCAGCTGCCTGCGCTGCTCTAATCTCAGAATTCCAGGTAATCCATGGGAATGTTCAGTGTCTGACCCCAGCCTGAGTCACTCTGGAATGTGGCAAATCCAGGGCAGAGGGGGAGGGAGGAGGGCAGGGAAGGCAAACTGGATTAGTGTGTGTGTGTTCCCATATGGCTGCCAGACCCTGGGCTGGAATCCCCTTAAGGTGATCCGACTGCTCCGGCAGCAAAGGGATGGGGATTAAACGGGTTTCTGCTCCCTTTGACCTCGGTCCTTTGGAAAATAATGTAATATAATATGAAGAAATGGAGTCGTGCTGCAGGACAATCTGCTAACCTCAGGTGTTCAGGGTCAATCTAATGGTGCTGGAAGGAAAAGGTGGAGAAAAGCCCTTCCCCCGGTGAAGGGAGGGAAATCCCAACCTTTGGATGTCACAAGGCAGCATTCCCAGTTTTCCACTGGGAACCTGAATTGCAACCTCAGCACGTGGCAGTGGAGATTCCTGTTTTCCTGCCCCAGCCCTGGGAGTGTCCAAGGCCGGGCTGGAGCAACCTGGGCCAGAGGAAGGTGTCCCTGGATGGGCTCTGAGGTCCTTCCAGCCCAAACCCCTCTGGGATTCCACGATTCCAAACAGAATTTTGGGGCAATCCCAGCCTAGTTGGGGACTGGGATCTGAGGGATCATTTCCACTCAGGGGCGAAGAACAGACTCAGAACCACCTGACAGTGTTGGTGGCAACTCCAGTTGTTGATGTTTCAAACCTTCAGTCACAGTAACTCGGGGTTTTTTACTCAGGGGGAGTTTTTGCTTAATTGCAGGTCTGAGACACCAGGCAGGGAGGAATGAATTAATTAACTTTCACCAACAAAGGGATTTACCCAGCATGTCTCACCTGTTCTTCACATTCCTTGTGTTCTGCACAGGCAAAGGGCTGCTTTTCCCCTTTATATATTTATATATTTATATATTTATATATTTATATATTTATATATTTATATATTTATATATTT